TCCGAATCTAGTAGTGTTACACGGGGCGGGGTGTGTCATTTATACACCAACACATCATCGACAAAGGAAATTTGGAACGCTATGAAAAGTAAGTACAAAGTCGAAGAAAAATGTACTAAGAAATTTTTAATTTCAAAGCACTTTAATTTTAAATTTCTTGAAAATATTTTCATTCTTCCCCAAATTCATGAATTACAAGTTCTTGTTAACAAGTTGAAGGCGAAAATTGAGATTTCGAAAACTTTCAAAGTAGGAGCAATTATTGCAAAACTTTTTGGGACTTGGAAAGGATATTGAAAGAAAATCATGTATAATTTTGAAGATTATTATTTGGAACAATTGTAAAACATCTTTGAATAGAGGGAGAGTCTAAGGCTAAAGATAAGAACGACAATTCTTATGAAGTCACTTTAAGGAACAATACCATGGATAAGATCGAGTCTTATAATAAATCCAATAAGAGAAAGCCTTCAATGAACTTTAACAAGTCTAAAAAGAAAATCAAAGATGGTTATTTTGTGTGAGGATAAACTTGGACATTATGTAAAAGAACGTCGACATCAAAAAATAAACAACTCCAAAGGAAAAATGAACTCCATCAAAGATGATAACATTGTAATTACTGTAAGTGAGATCAATGCTATCAAGGAAAAGGTTCCCGCTTGGTGGTATGATACATGTGCAACCGTATATGTATCATATGATTAATTATTGTTCAAAACATACTATGAAGTGTATGGAGATTGTTAATTGATTTGGAAGAATCTCGATTTCTCATTCAATTCACCAACGGGTACACCCTTATATATATACATGAAGAGGATATTCTCAAAAGGAAAATAATCCTCTCTAATTAGAAAATAAGTCTAGACTTTATATTCCTACCATACATCATGTTTATTCCTAAATTAGGTACACGGTTCATGACACTCCCCCTCAAGCTGGAGCATAGATATCAATCATGCCCAACTTGTTACAAATATAGTTTACTCGAATCCCAGCTAATGCTTTAGTAAACATATCTGCTAATTGATCTCCTATCCTGACATGCTTGGTCGAAATCAACCCCTGCTGTAACTTTTCACGAACAAAATAACAGTCTGCTTCTATATGCTTTGTTCTCTCATGAAATACCGGATTCGTAGCAATGTGAATAACTGCTTGATTATCACACCACAGGTTCAAGAGTGGGACTTATCTATGCCAATCTCCCCAAGTAAGTGAGTAGCCACATAAGTTCACAAGTTACCTGTGCCATAGCTCGATATTCAGATTCTGCACTTGATCGAGCTACAACACTTTGTTTCTTACTCTTCCAAGAGACCAGATTACCCCCAACGAATACACAATACCTTGTAGTAGAGCGCCTATCCATAGGAGAACCTGCCCAGTCTGCATTTGAGAAACCCTCAACTCTACAATGACCATGGTTTCTATAAAGAATTCCACGCCCTGGAGCTCCTTTGAGGTACTTCAGTATGTGAATTACAACATTCCAATGTGAAGTTCTATGAGATGATATAAATTGACTAACAACACTTATTGGAAAGGTGATGCCTGGACGAGTAATCGTGAGATGGTTCAATTTTCCCACCACTCTCCTGTATTTCTCTGCATCAACAAACACATCCTCATCTTCAGGCCCAAGTTTCACATTTGGTATCATGGGAGAATCAACTGGTTTTGCTTCCACTAAACCCGTCTCATCTAGTAGTTCTAGAACATATTTTCTTTGAGACAAACAAATTCCTTTACCACTTAGAGAAACCTCTATCCCTAAGAAATATTTTAAGGGACCTAACTCCTTTGTCTGAAACCTTATGCCTAAGAAAGCTTTCAACATACTTATGCCACTACTATCACTACCAGTAATCACAATATCATCAACATATACTACTAACAAAATACACCCAACTGTAGACTGTCTAAAGAATACTGAGTGATCGTATGCACTTCATTGTAAGCCAAATTCAATCACAACCTCACTAAATCTCCCAAACCACGTACGTGGTGATTGTTTCAATCCATACAACGACTTTTGCAGTTTGCAAACATGTCTCGACTCCCCTTGAGCAACAAATCCTGGTGGTTGCTCCATGTAAACTTCTTCTTGTAAATCACCAAGAAGAAACACATTTTTAACATCTAATTGGTGAAGGGGCAAATGATAAGTGGCAACAAGAGAAATGAATGATTGAACAGAAGCCAGCTTAGCAACTGGAGAGAAAGTCTCAGAGTAGTCTACACGATAAGTCTGAGCATACCCCTTAGCAACCAAAC